CGAATACTTGCAAAAATAGCATAAATCCCAAAAATCCCATACATCCCAAAATGCACAAAAATCCCATACATCCCAAAACTCTCAATTCGCAAAATTCGAATACGTGCAAAAATCCCATAAATCCCATAAATCCCAAAAATCCCATAAATCCCAAAAATCCCATACATCCCAAAATGCACAAAAATCCCATACATCGAAAAAATGGATGAAATATTGGAAAAATCTTTGTAGTTTCGAAGTCAAACACGCAATAAAACAGATCGAGTTGCAGTTGCTGTTCATTTTACATAGCACACAAAAACCCCCAATACTATCAAACGTTTTGTTACAGGTTAATTCCTTCATGAAAACTAAAATTCGGAAGGAATCGGGTTTATGCCAGCCCTCTGTCTTCTGTGCGTTGTCTTGGTGTTCTTGTTTCGCATGATCTTAGGTGGAACGATCTTGCCAAGGACATTGCTCTTGCTTGTCGGCGCAAGCTCGGACCATTGAATCGTGTCTTTGGATTAGCTCCAACTGAAATTCGGCGTCGAATCTATCTTTTTTCTATTCTTCCTAAAATCGACTATTGCTGTGCCTTGTACGACAGTCCGTTTTCTCTTACTGTACTTGATTCTGTAAACAAACTCGCTTCTCGTGTTATCTCTCGCAATTCTGACTTCCGTTCTTCTAGTTCTCTACTTGTGTCTCATCTTTCCCTTCCAAATCTCTCTCTTCGTCGTAAATACTTTAGACTTTCACAGTTTTTCAAAATTTATCATCGTCTAAGTCCTGTTTCTCTCTTTTACACTATTCATCGTCCTCACTACTCATCTTTACGTCTTCATCACTCTAAATACGTTCGTCTTCCACCTTCTGTTGATGGTTTTTCTCCACAAACGGTGCATTCTTCATTTTTTTATTCAACTATTACTGATTGGAATAATCTTCCAGAGTCAGTTATTTGTCTTTCTTCTTTTATGTCTTTCAAAACAGCCTGACTTCAGTATCTCTTCCAGTGAAACGCTTGCCAGTTAAGCATTTATGCTTGTTCTTGTTTTGTTTTTTTTTTAAAAATTTTTATGTTTTATTTTACTACTTCTGGTTCTAATCTTAGTTATCTTCTTTATTTTGTTATTTCTTTTATTACTATTTCGGTGTTGTTTGGCTTGAGTCATTGTTACTACAGGTCAGTGACCTTTGATGACTCTCACTTTTCGTGAATAAACAATCTTAGTCTTAGTCCTCCCCCGTCATTTGTTCCGAATTTGTGATCCCAAAAAAATTTATTTTTTCTGTCCCATAACCACATGGTCTGTGATAGCTCTGGTAAGTTATTCAATTTACCTTCTTTATATGCCAAAAGTTGACTAAATATATAGAATAGACAACAGCGAAAATCCGACGTTTCTATCACTTTTCACTACCAAGTAATTCACACTTTACTGAAGTTATGTGAGGTTTGACTGACAATTTGTCCCGTAACCACCTACTATGCCACGCCTCAACCGGGCTTGGTAGAAAGTTTCTTTTTTTACCAATTAAATTTACAATTGACACAATTGTTTAACGAAAAATGCAATATATGAAATATCATGCCATATTTCCAATTCATGCCTTCATTAGGATACAACAGAACAACATTTATCATTTATCCAACCATGAGAACATCAACACTTATATAATAATATCAAGAGTCTGTTCTGTTTATTGCTGAACACAGCATCCGGACTGCACCTATCACAGAACGCAAGAGTCAGGGAAGTCGACATCCAAGATAGATGTATACTTTTTACAATATAGACGTGTTTTTTTTCATTCCTTTCTCATATTCGCTAAGCACGTGGTGCATAACAACATCTTGTGTCGCTAAAACAGCAAAAATTACTCTGAGACTAAAGTGCAACGCAATCGCTATTTTTCATCAGTAGCTTTCGCCCCTTCCATATAATGCGTTGTCTTTCGGTCATGAGAACCTAAAATCACTTTCTAAAGTCACAAGTAATTTAACAGCATAATGGACGATTTTCGACCAATCAGAAGTCATCCATGGTTTATCGCTGGATTTCCTTTTTCTTGTCAAGACCACTCCATGCTTGATGGTGGTGACTATTTTTACTGACCTAATTTCATTGCTATAACCATGGCATAGATCAATCAAGTTTGGTCAGTAAAGTCGGTCGATCTGTAAAAACAGTCACCACCTGCTTGAATCACAGTATCCATCTCATACATTATGCAGGCACGCAAGAATCGTGTCAAGACGTAATTCACGTCTGTGTATCCGCACATGGCAGCCAAAGACACTACTTTTGTTTCTAGTTCAAGAGACAGGCGTTTTTCGATCCCAGATACATTATGTTCTCTCATTTTTCTGTTCATCACTTTGTTTTGCCAGCATAACAGTCACATAAACATTATAGTTATTTAACATATTTTTCGAAGTTTTCGATTTCATGCTTTTGTCTCTCGTGTGAGAAATGCGGAGACAGCGTCGTATGTTGCTGTACCTTTGTCAGTGTGATACTAAACCAATTAACATTAAATAAAAAATGAAAGCTGGAAGTAAAATTCACTCATTAACTGCTTTTCATTGTTTAATATCCATGCCGCTTCACTTTTTGTTTTCATCTAGTTACAAAATACCTTTTTGATTATTTTTTCTGTTGCTATGTATTATCAGATGTCAGCGATCTCTGCAACTTATTCTGTATATGCAACTAAAGACCTTTTCGCCGATGGCCGTCAAACTAAACAAATTATCTGTTTTGTTTCTTGCGATTGAAAAATATTTTCATTTTGTTGTTTATGATTGGCTTGTCCATGGGTTAGCGAACAGTCAATTTCCTATGTTGTACCAATAGAGAGACAGAGAAACAAGCATTGTCTAAGACCCTAGAGTAAACTCAACGGTAAATCAACTAAAACACGGGACAGGATTTTAAGATTTTGTATTCTCTGAAAAAATGAACTATTTAATATTTTCTTGAAATGAGGAGGAATGTCAAAAGATTTTAGTTCTATCTAAAAATATTCCAAATTTCTACGACGGAGATGGTGGTTTTTGATAGCTACTACCACCTTGCTTTTTACAACTAAATTACCGCAAAGATCTGCAAACTATAAGCTTTTCCTGTAGCGGTATTTTTAATAATCAGGGTGTGCTTATCCATTTTTAGATAAATGTCTCAGTTACGAATTATTCTTGTCGTGTATCATGATCCGGATACAAAGGCGGAGAAACAACAAAATTTTCAATGTTCGAATGACGGGCGACTGTCATTACTCGACGTTAAAACAGTTTTTGGCGTTAAAGCATTAGCAAAATGTGATGAAAATGGCACAATTGAATATGTTTTTGCAAGTGATAAATATGGATACTCAATCACAAAATTTTTCCAATCAGAGACTGTTGGTATTGGTGTTCCAGTTTCAACCGGCGTCTTACATGTCACAGGTGTCAAAAGTAGGTTGTTTGAATATAATTGCTAATGAAAAGAGCAAACGTCGATCCCTTTATTGCAGTTTTGTAGCAGGTGAATAAAATAAGACAGAAGTATGCTGAGACAACTTTTACTAGATATTGGAGTGTAACGTTCGAATGCACGAAAGTCGGTATTTGTGAGTTCAGATGAGTAATGTTGCTGCTTTTGATGACCTTGATACTGGAAGGGTCTCACCGAATAAAGCAACAATAAACAACGAAAACTTCATTTATTTATATTAATCTAAATTTATAAGGATTTGTAATAAAATAAGTTGAAAAAATCTTTTGATTCTGTTCTTTTGGTTGATGAAGGAGTAATTCTTTATCGAGTAAATAGGAATAAAAGACGATTTTTTTTGTTGCATATATACCGAGTACATTTTTCTCTAGCTGTAAACTATTTGTTCTTGAAAATCTAGGTCAGAAAGTTTTTTCGTTCGTTTTAGATGATCATCAATGGCCTGCTGAGTTAGTGTTGAACTCGGTTTATGAAAGACTTACAAAGATCAAAATAGGCTTTTTTAATTTTATTCGTTATGATTCTTCTACGAAAGAAGATTGATCTTTTTGTAATTTATGTTTGTATGTATTTCATTGTTTTTGTTTGACCTGTTATTACTGTTTAGGATAAAATAATTTACAACATTGTTAATTCTGGTTCGGCATCAACTAAACAGGGAGCAGAATTTTAAGATTTTGTATTCTCTGAACTATTTAATATTTTCTTAAAATGAGGAGGAATATCAGAAGATTTTAGTTTTCTATCTAAAAATATTCCAAATTTCTACGACGGAGATGGTGGTTTTTGATAGCTACTACCATCTTGCTTTTTACAACTAAATTACCGCAAAGATCTGCAAAGTATAAACTTTTCCTGTAGCGGTATTTTTAATAATCAGGGTGTGCTTATCCATTTTTAGATAAATGTCTCAAATACAAATTATTCTTGTCGTGTATCATGATCCGGATACAAAGGCGGAGAAACAACAAAAGTTTCAATGTTCGAATGACGGACGACTGTCATTACTCGACGTTAAAACATTTTTTGGCGTTAAAGCATTAGCAAAATGTGATGAAAATGGCACAATTGAATATGTATTGGCCACAAGTGAAGATGGATACTCAGTCACACCATTTTTGGAATTAGAGACTGTTGGTATTGGTGTTACAGTTTCAACCGGTACCTTACATGTCACAAGTGTCAAAGGTAGGTTGTTTGAATATAATTGCTAATGAAAAGAGCAAACGTCGATCCCTTTATTGCAGTTTTGTAGCAGGTGAATAAAATAAGACAGAAGTATGCTCAGACAACTTTTAGTAGATAGTGAAGTGTGATTCCGATTGCCGCCTGATTTCAAATGTGTGAACGGTAGTATCGTTTCTATTTAGCCTTTTTACAATAGCACTCTTCATTTCACATTGATCTATATAGTTTTTGATTCCTTTTTTTAGAGCCAAAAGAACATTGGTTTAGAAGTTCAAAGGCAGATTTGTTTAAATGGCTTTGGACATATTTAATTGTAGCTAGTATTAGTGTGGGCATTACTGTTTGGAGCCGTAAACCTTGCCCAGTTTGTGCGCAATGTTGATGTTTATGAGGTACTTATTATTGTTTATTGTAAACTTTTTCTTTATGTTGTTAAACAACAAGAAAGTAGTAAATATATAACCAACTTTCCTACTCATTTCAAAAGGCTATTCTATTGGTTTATACACGATCCAAAAACAGTTTTATTCTCGGTGTTTTCGTCTCAAAAGTCCTAGTACTCTTAATTTCAGATGGAAACTGACTATAATAATAATTAAGTTTTAACCATCAGCATTTTCCATATTAAGCAATTACTCATGTGAAAAGTTTTTCGAGTTTTAGATGTAACCGTTTAGAGTCACTGTTCATAGCGTTCGATTCAGATTTGTCTGGGCTACAAAATGATATATCGCAATAAATGTTACCGCTTAACTAAAACTTTTCCACATAGGTAAATACTCGATGTGCTCTACAAACTGACAGTATCATCATGTACGTATATGTATGTATATGTTTTAAATAGTGACATATTTCTACGTCGTATTATCATGTCATTAATTAGTAAACGTAATCCAGTCCCATTTATTCAACTAATTCATAAATGTTTTAATTCAAATGATTAAAAGTATGACTTTATGCCATCTATAATACATGTATGAGATCATACACGTCCCACACTACTCTCATTTTCTATTGGCAATGATTGTAAAGGAAAATCATCATTACTGAATATGTTATTTCAGTGTACATTTGAACAAAATGTCAATAGTTTATATGTTCAACAAACAATTGATTTTGATTTTGGTTATTCATTTATACCAGAATGACAATTAAACATAGCTGATTGTCATGTTGAAATGACTCTTGATTTATTGGTTAGAATTGATTCATTATTGGATGGTTTTCTAATCCATATTACATCAAAATACTTAAAACAAAATCCAAAAGCTTTAACTGCATATTTCAAATTATTACCAAGATGTAAATTTATATCTATACTTCGACGAGGAGCCCTAAATCGGTTATAACCGATCATGGGACTTTTAAGAAATCTTTTTACCCTGTCTCGCAGCTATAGTTCGAACAGAGGTTAAGCTTTTAGCGTATCTGATCTTTTAAAAATGAGCCAAGATAAATTTTAAATAAACTTTGCCACGCACACTTCTCTATCAATGCTCTCCGATCAAGATGGTTCCTTCACACTTTATGTTCAGTATATTGTGTAGATGAGTCCCTTCAGCAGACAAAAATTTAACTGATCTGTAGTTGAGATATTTTCGAAAATGTGCTCATTCGAATCTCTTTTAGGTTAAAACTGCTGATCGTGAAATGCGTTTGATGATTGATACATTAACACGAAATAATGAAGATTTAACAGGTCAAAATCAAGCATTAATTAATGAAAGAAAAATACAATATTGCTAAGCAAAATTTAGAAAAATCGATGCGTGATGGTGGAATGTTAAAAGAAGAATTAACAAAAGCTGTTTATACTCGTGATTCACTTGAAAAAGAACTGGCACGATTAAATGGAAAAGTAAATGAATTATCAACGGGTAAAAAAGCAGCTGACGAAAAAGTGGACTTTTTAACAGGAAAAACAAATAATTTACAAGTTGATTTACGTCGGTACGCATTTTTTTTCATAGTAAGAAATCTTTCTAATTCTGTTTTTTTCTCACTAATTATAGTTCGGAGGCAAATGCTGCCATGTTACAAGAACGTTTTACATTAACTAAAAATGAGAAAGATGCATTAGATGCCGATTCAAGAAATAAATTAGGCTTATTAATGCAAAAATTAAAAGAATTTCAAGTGCAAAATAAAACTTGTTTGGAACAATTGCATGCACAAAGTAAACAATGTGACCATTTAAATGGAGAAAATAAACAACTACTGGAATATGTTGTAAGTAAATATATCTGCATGATCCACATCCTTGGTAAAATGTGTAATTTTGCCTCATCACAGAATTTGATTCTCAGACGCGTTTCGATGATACCGTATACTTTCAAATTTTGGAAGGAAATTTGACACAAAGGGCTTTAAGTTCTTTTTAGATGTATTATTTTGGATCTAAGATGATCATCTGATAATTCGAGATGTTTCCTCAAAATTTTTATAATTATAGAATTATAGTCTACTATTTTATTCAACTGTTTCATCTCTATGAAAATTTTCACTATAAAAAGTTCTTGAGGTATTTCCCTAGTAAGAAAATTGATCCGTTGGTCATAAAAACTCTTCCACATAGGTAAATACTCGATGTGCTCTACAAACTGACAGTATCATCATGTATCCGACTGTTGGTTCATGATGATTCTCTAGAGACTTTGTTTCGATACAGGAGCAAACGATAATTCTTTTTGCTAATGAATAGCAGCAGCTTTAAATATCATATATTTATTTCAATACTCACATCACATAGTATAAAAATGAGTCTGACAAGACTCTTATAGAATAAAATACAACAGCATATTTTCACTGAAATATTCCAGTGATAAGGCTATAAAGTAGTGACATGAAGATTGAAATAAATATATGTTGTTTAAAGCTGCTGCTATCGCAGGAACAAACGAATATCAGATTTGTCATCAGCATCAAAATCTATCTGTAATTAAGTATACTTCGAGGAAGCGAGGGAACACTTGATGAAGCTTTCTCGTAAGAAAAGGCAATTATTGCTTCGTCTAGTTCGTCATTAGTAAGCTCTTGTTTTCCATCGATTATGTTTCTTTCTAGAATGGTTATCGTAAAGAAAATGATTTATTAGCAAAACAATTAGTATCTGTAAATACAAAACAAAAACGTTTAGCATTAGAATTAGAAAAATTGAAAAGTGTTGACGCATTTATGAAAAACGAAGAAGCCATGAAAATGCAGGACGCTCTAATGGGTTTAACAGATCAATTGACACAATTGAGAAAAATGCATGGAACTACATTATCCGAAAATCAACGTATTAAAGAATTATTAATTGAAAAAGATTCAGTCTTAACAAATTTAGGTTATGAACGTCATCAACTACAAGATAAAATGGTTAAAAATGAACATACGATTCGACAATTAGAACGTATGTTAGATGGTAATAAACGTTCACCATTGGATCAACAAATAACAGCTACATCATCAACTAATTATTCATTTGAAAATGTTATAGATTCATGATTAGTTAGTTGTTTCTTGTTTTTTTTTACTGATTTATTCAAAAAATATTTACACATCTCTCTCTAATACTAATTCTACGTATCGATTCGATTAAACATTAAACAATAACTTCTTATAAAAAGACAAATAAACACATGTACAGCTATCTACGATCGTTTGCTGATAAAGTGTCATGATGCGGTAGATGATTCAAAATTTCATATGTAAATGAAAACTGAGTCATAGATAAACGCCCACTATCAACATGTTAACAAGTGAGATTGAACTATAATTTTTACTGTTATTTATGAAAGATTTTCATTCCAAGAATGAAACACCGCTATAAGTTTTACTACTGTTCAGTATTTTTATAAAATATTTAATTATTTCGCTTAGATTTTGAGCATTTTCATTACACTGTAATAGTGCCCACCAGAGGTGGGACCGGTTCGGTTTGAGAAAGTTTCGGTTCGATTCGGTTGCAGAAAAACACGAACCGATCCCATCTCTGCTGGTTACATATTTTTCAA